GAATTCCTAAAATGCAGTGTGACATACACTTCTGTAGGATCCTCCTAAAACAGCAAAACTACAAATTAAACACAGAATCCTCACATGAAACAGTTTTCCCCTCACAGTGATTCACCCAGGGTCTCCCATCCATTCCCAGGACACCATTCCCTGCTGGATACATGTAAAAGACTAAGCAAAAAGCTGGTACACACCTGCATCCCCGTGGAAACAGCTGTCCTGGTGACACCTGGCAGAGGGCAAATCTCCATCACTGGGCCAGATCTGTCCTGTTTTCCGTACCCCCACAATGGTGGCCTCAGACACGATGACCTGCTGCTGCCGGTGCCGTTTCTGGGACTGGGGGGTCGGTGGGCTGCTGCTGTCAAAGGACTGCTGGGAGTTCTGCGAGGGGGAGCGGCTTTTATCCCGATACATGCGGTACGTGGTGGGGCTGGGCGAGACATGGCTGGACTGCCCTGAGGAGAAGTCTTCCTCACTGGAGGTGAGGTTCTCATTAGAGCTGCAATCAGGAGTGTATCCTCCTCCAATATCTTCAAAACTCCTGGGGGAATAAGATCTCCTGGGCCACGTGAGATGTTTCTCCTGGTCGGGTGGGCCCTGGTTTCGCAGAATAGGTCCTTTTCCTTCTTCCCCCATCATGCCACCAACGTAGATACTCTGATAGGGCTGAAAGTCCATGGGCTGCCAAGGTGAGCGGTTGCTGCCATTAGCATTAATCAGGTTATCTTTAAGAAATTTGGGGTTCAGTTCAGCATCCTCATATTCTCCATCATAGCCAAAGCTGCTCTCTGAGGACCTTCCCCTGTAGGCAGGCCTCTGGAACTCGCTGAAGCTGGGTACCATGTTAGAAGGGAGGGAGTGCAAAGACTTTTTGCGTTCCATTTGCATGGCTTGGCTACCAAGGGAGCTTATTTTATCAGAAACATCTTTATCATTGACCTTTACTAGACCCTTCTCATGATGATACTCCATGTTCACGTAAAAGGGCTTTTCAACAACATCCTTGTTATCACCAGAAGAGTGCGAATTAACCTTTTTCATTCTCTCAAAATTGGACCTTAGGGCTGCCACGCTGGTGCTGTTCCCTCTCTCCTTAGGTTCAAATGATCCCTCCTTCTCAGCAGATCCCACCAGTCTGCGAGTGGAAGCCGATCTGTGTTTTGAAGGAGAGCCATCTGTATCACAGCGATTCTCCATGTCTTCTACAACTCTCTTCAGTTTCTCTTCACCATAGTACTTACACCTGTCCTGCTCTCCTTCCCCGTGGTGGGGACTGTCCAAAGGTGACAGGTCTGACCCATCGCTCTGGGTAGACAGCTTCCTCATAGAGGGTATCCTGGGTTTGAACTTTTCCTCCCCGTGATGTGACTTGCTTTTTTCATATTCGTCCTGGTCAGCAGACTGGTGATGATGCAGGTCCTGAATCTGCTGCTCTGCACCCCCTTCAGGCAACTGAGAAACACGTTTAAAACCCCATCTCTGTCTATCATAGCTTTTTTTCTCCTTTGCCAGAAGAGTCTGCAGGTAAATCATGCGGAACCTCTCCTTATTAACCTCCATCTCCAGTCTCCGGATAGATGCTTTGCACATCTCCAGTTCCTGTTCAATGTCTCCCACAGATTTCAGCTCCATTTTAGGAGGCTCAGAGTCTGCAAATTGTGCTTTCCAAGCCTCTACAAACCCCACAGGGTCCACCATTTTGCATACGGGAGTAAGTGGAGAATACGAGAAGGAGGCTGGAGAGAAAGAGGTGGAAAGAAAAAACCAACCGGATCTCACATGTAGAAGCAGAAACAGCTCGGGCAGGGTCAACTCAGCGCGTCTCTTTCGCGGTCCATGCAGGGCAGCGGGAGGCAGGCAGCGATCCTCTCTCGCAATCGTCTCTCCTCCCCGGCTCCTGCTTCTGCCGGCTCCAGCCCCGCGTACACTCGCTACCCTCTCCCCGGCATGACCGATCGTTCGCTGGCGAACAACAATGCTCCCACCCCGGCGATCCCCGAGCACTTCAAAGCGCGTGGACAAAGGAGCGGGCTCGGGGCGGGGGAGGGAAGGTAAATATCGCCCCCCACCCACCTCCTGTCGCCGCCGTCCTGGGCACGGTCCTCAGCGCGGCCACGCTCCGGAGCCCTCCGCTCCGCGCTGCCTCGGCAGCCCCCGTGTTGTGCTTTCTCTTTCTCTCTCCTCCTCTCCCCCTGCCCCTTTCCCTGTCTCCTCCTCCCGGCTATTGTGCTGCGCTCGGGGCGCACTCGGTCCCCGCGCGGGCGGCGATGCGGGCGGCGCGTCCCGGCCGAGCTCCGCCGCTACCCGGCGGTGCCCGAGCGCACCGCGGCCCCGCGGGAGCCCCCCCGGCGGCGCAGCCCCCGCTGCCCAGGGCGGCCCATCGCGGCCCGGCTCCGGCGGCGCTGCGGAAGGGGAGGGGAGGGAAGGACCCGGCGCAGGCACTGACACGGCGCTGGGGCCTCTTAAAGGGGCAGCGGGGCCGGGGGAGCCGCGGGGGTGGGGGGGCCGCAGCGCCTTCCTCACGGCTGCCCGTGAGACAAAGGCAAAGTCCTGAGCCGTGCCGGCCGCTCGCCCTCGCAGCCTGGGCATCCTCACACCGTACAGACATGACCATAGCTAAGACTGATTAGGAACATGCCATGCACACAGCTTGTGTGCATAGGGAGGTATCCCTTCCCGTCCATAGAGCCATGCCCTCATATATTATGTATAAACAGCAGCACGTCCCCGTGCTCTCTCTTGTGTTCATAGCAAGGCTCTCCCCCCAGGCATTGATGCAGCTCACCTTCAAAGGTCACGTTTTCCCCCACTCATGGAAGTGCTGGATAGTAGCAGGCTTGTCAGTCCCTCAATCCCACCTTGCTTGCTAATAAATTATAAACTGGATTTCTGAGGTGGGCAACTGCTACTCCAAAATAACTCCAATACTGACAATAAAGGCTGCTTTGTTTGGGCATTACTCTCACTTTTGTCCTGTATATTATTTAGCCCCAGTAACTCAGTCCCACACTTCACCTCTGGGTGAAGGGTGGCAAATGATTTAAAGAGAATTCTGGCTGCTATTATTTTCCTTCTGAAATCACACCATCACACTTTCTTCTTAACCTTGCTTACAGCATGTGTCCTTTCCATGTACTAATTCAACCTCTGAAAAAAGGGTAAAAAACAACCAAAGCTCCATCTTTCCTGTTTGGAGGACAGGCAAAGATGATATGTAGCCCTCAGATCCCCCATAAAACTGTTTCTTTCATGTTTGTGGTGAAGCATATTTTTCAGGTACATGTTGCTAGCAAAGAGAGTGGGATATAGCTCTGATAAGAACTAATAAAATCCCATAGGAATGAAAAGCACAACTCCATGGGAGTAGCTCTCTTACCTTTGAGATATGTGCTGTTTCCAAATCCATTAGACAGTTTTCCTCTCCATGCTTTTTTATATGCCAATGAAAATATTTTGGGCTACTTTCAGCTATATCACAAATGGCTACTCATATATTCACTTTTGCATAGTTCATCCCTCTTGGTTTTGTTTCCTGGCTTTAACTGCTTTTCCTGCACTTGTTTCCTCAGCTTTTAACACATAACAGGCTTTGGCTGACCTACATGGAAAACAGATTATGAGCTAAATAATTATAAAATCTATATGTTTAATAAATAACTCTATAAATCATTCAAGACTTCTCAATCTGTCACAGAAGTAAAATACACTGCCTTTTCTCTATTGATACTATTTGTTTGCTTAGTGGCAGTTTGACCAACAAAATTCTGACATGCAATGCATTTCTAGTAATTATGAGATTGTACTGGCATGGTTCTAAACAATGGCAGGTATGTGACATCACTGGGATCTGTTCTGAATTCATACAGAACTTTTACTGAAGGCTCACCATTCTGATTTATTTCTGGAGTGGTTTCTACTTGGGTCCACTTTTCTGACATTTGTGTCCTTTCTGGAGGGAGGAAGAATGGTAATGAGTCACATGAGGGATTTCTGTGTGCACACTTACCTTTCAGTGAATAATACTGTTAAACAACTACACTCTCTTTATGTACTGAGGTAGTACAACTCCAGAAATTCCACTGGGAATTGTTCTCTGAATTTTTGCTGCTACTTTACGCATTGAAGAGAGCGGTATTTTAACTGGATACAAAATTTCTTTAAGACCACGGTGGCAGACACCTACCTGTGATTTGAGACCGAGATTCCCGCGATGAGGGGCCGAGCTCAGGCCGGCCTGCCCGGCCCATCCCCTCTGCTGGCCGGTGAGAGATCGCAAAGCGCTTCCGAGCCCGCACGGATCCGATCCTGCGGCGACCGCCGGGCTCCCTCTGGTGGGGAGAAGGAGCCTCTCGGCTCTGGGTAAAGCTCCCGAGCTGTCACTCGAGAGATGCTCTTCAGCATCATCCCACGCGGAAGAACCGGGGAGTTTTAAGGACAACCAAACAAACAACCGTAGGGCATAAGCTGAGCTTTTAAAATGCGATCTAAAACACGGTTTCTGATTAATATGTGGCTGAAACTAAAAAATCCTATTTTTGTTAACACAAAGCAGCACTCTCAGAGGAGTTTGACAAAGCTGACAAGTCTTGGGAAGTCCCATTCAGTCTAAATCATTTGATGAACCCAGGGTAAAAAAGGAATTCTCCTTCTCCAAATTCAGAGAGTGGCAATTTCTCACTGTGAGAACAATTTCCAGGCCAAAAATACAGGAAAGTGATTAACCCTCTCCATCACTAAATCCATATTCTCCTACAACTTGTCAAACATTTCATTTTAACTTGCATGCTCAGAGATGTGATACAGAGTGTTCAGAGCATCCACTCACCAGTGTGTTACATCAGAACAACCTCTAACTATTAATGGGAAGCTGAAAACACCCAGAGGGGACAGATTTATCCATGGAGAATGGACTCCAGTTCCACCACAATGTAAACCTGAGCTGGGACCCAACAGGATTCAAAGAGTTCTGAATCCTATGACCTATGTAACTATAAGCAATCACACCTTAAGTGTCAAATAACAACTCAAAAGATGAATAACATAGTTAATTTCTTACTATAAAACCCTTTTCTTTTAATTTTTAACATTGTCAGGTGGCTTTTGATCCATTACCAGTGGGTTTGCTCAGCACAAATGCATCCACAATCCATGAACACATAAGCTTTTACTTATTAAGACAAGAAAGAGCACAACTTCAGTTCTTTCGGGAAATGGATTGTTACAATTGCTCTTTATCTTTGTTTCAGACTGACTCCAAAGTTTACTCCAATTTCTCACCTGCAAATTCCACAAGGAAGCTGAAACTGTGACTGTTGCCATAATCACTGGGGGGATTTCAACTGGTATAGAAATCCTGGTTTACTCTACCTATAGGGAGAGTTAAAGTTTTTTCAGCACTGTTTCCCAAAATATTAAAGCTTCTTCAAAGTCAATTAAGCTGCTGATAAAATGGATTTACAGAAATAAAATATTGGCCAGGTAGAACTTAAAAATTTCTATTTTCTATAGTTAGTTTCTTTTGTGCTTTCCTAAGCAACTCATCATTTGCAACACGATCCAAGATTCATTTTAGATGATAAATTATTGAGTTCTTTGTTTTTTCTTCTTCTTCTAAATAAAGAACTTCTTCAGAGTTCTTTATTTAGAGATAAATTATATGGAGTTCTTTGTAGGGGGGGTTTCAGTGGTGCTAAAAACACCCTTAATACCCCAAACACACAAACAAAAAATTACAACAAAAAACCCAACAAACACCCAAACAAAAAACACCCAGTCTCAAAGCATCCATCATTTAATAGACTCAGGTTATTGTCCCATGATAGCTGATGACTGATAGAGTATTACATTTGTATGTGAAGTTTTTGGAGCTCCAGATGATACAAAACAGCAGTGACATCATGCAGTGTACTGCACCCCTAGGAAAAAACTGTCCCAGTTGATTTCCCAGGCAACATGATCATGTTGTTGAGGAGATTGCATTTCTGTGACTTTGTACAATAATTGAGCTCAGCAACAGAAGAAACCCTTAGGAGATATATTTCTTGGTGGGGGAAAAAAAAAAACAAACCAAGAAATGGATATTTTCTTAGATTTGCTCCTGAGTCATTTTGCAGTGTCAACATTATTTTCATGTCAGCACTGAAGCCCAGCTAACCTGATCAGCTGCAGCAGAGTGAACCATCTCCACTCTCACTCAGGAAACACAAGGCCAAGGCTGCCCAGCCAAAGCCTGTGCTACAAGCACAGAGTAAATTCACCTCCCTTTGAAACAGACTCTGGAACTGAACAACTGCACAGAACATCATAAGGTCAAAATATTACACATTTGGATAAAGAGCTCCTTTTGTACCCTCACAGATTCATTTTTTCCACCAAATGCTACATTTGTGTCCTTGCCAACAGGCAGCACAATTGCCAAAGTGAAGATTATCAGATAAAAAAAAGACACAGAGTTCCTAGATCTCTATTCATCATATTCTAGGAAGCTACTCTAACTTACGTCAAAAGGAAAAATAATAAAAGCATGCTCCAAGCTCTTTTCTCCACTTTTTCCAATTTCTTATCAAAGTGGGGAAAATGGCAGAGAATCCAGAATATTTTCAGATTGATGCATTTCTTTATTGATAAATAAGCATTTCTCAGCAGCTCAAATCTGAGTCCTGTTATAATTATTTTTAAAGATACTGTTGATTCCGCAATGATTGAAGAAATAATCCAAGAAACAGTACCTTGTAACTATTCACAGGTTTTCCTTCTCTTCATTTAAGATAATTACAATATGAACTTTAGAGCATTATATATATATTTTAATGCCAGCAAGCCTGACATGCTGGATATTAATACTAGAAACATGGAATTCTAAGCTAGATACAGAGTATTAGAGTTCAGAGAGCTGTTAAAAAAATTAGAGGGAAATAATGTTTTCCATTTTATGCACCTGTGTGACCATTCTTTCTTATTCAAGAGAATGCAAAAGAATAGCATTCTTATCTGGCAACATTTTTCAAAATATTAGACAGCTATGTTAAAACAACCAAGTTCCTACCTGGACTTCTTTTAGGCTTGGAAATATTTAATACTGGGCTCTGATTCTCAAGTGGAAAATGAAAAGTAATAAACATTTTTCCTGGATGGAGAAACCACAGTGGAAACTATGCAGTCTGTATTTGTGTACTTCCAAGCCTGATAGTTTAAAAGATTTATTTTCAAATAGTTTTAAAATACTTGGAATGCATAAAAGCAATCAGAGTTATTTTACACGATTGTTTTAAAAGGCAAAACTGTATTGATACCACCCTTCATTCTGACCTGCCACTTGTTTCCTGCTCCCACAAGAGAATGTCACCTCACTAGCTAAGATTTCTAGAGAATTATCAAAAATAACACACTAAAATGACATCATTTTTGACTACAAGCCTTTTTGGCAGACAGGTGAGCCCACGGCACTGGCAATGTCTTCTTGCATTAAGACAAGGATGTTCTATTTCAGCTACACAGAGAAAGGTTTACATAACAATTGTACCACCCTGCACAGGGAGCCTGCAGCAGCAAGGGAACTCTCAGCAAGAAAGTTTGGCTAAGTTTTTCCTCCCTCATTTCTAAAATTAAAGCTCACTATTTCTGGTTTGAGAGCATTGTTGCAGAGAAGTGTGGCACTTGCAGAAACAGTTGACACTTAGCAGCAACTCAGGCTGACTCGAGCATTGTCCTCTGGAACTTCCATAACATTCTTCTCTAGCTCTGTGGAAACAAAAAAGTTATAAAATCAACATACAAGAAGTTATACTATCTGATATTATGGGTAACAAAAGCTGGATGCAGGCTCAGTCACTCCTGCAGGCTAAAACCTGGGCAGACAATGATATGAAAATATGCTTGCAGGTGTTTGAAACTGGCTCTAATGCTTGAAAAACCTCCCCAATCCTTCAGTGTATAACAAGAAAAATGCACACAAAAAGCAAAACTCCACATACTGATGAGATTTCCTGCCCCAATTTGGGCCCTGTGTCCAGGAGTGCTCTCCAGCTCCTTTATCATGGACTGTTCAAAGGCCAAGGCAGCAACTCGGGAAAAGAATTCTTTGACATTTTCTCCTAGGAAACAAGACAGAAGTGATGTGTTTTTATAAAGGCACATCAACAGATGAGAAAGCATAACAAGCACATCTGTGAACAGCTGACTGCTCAATACTGGGACAGAACAGGCCTCTCCAAGAATCTGACTCTCATTCTGATCACTGCAGAAAGAATTTCTAATTTTCTTACTTTGGAATACTGCACCCTGTGCTGCACCTTTATTTTTAGCCAGCAACAGAGAGAATTCATCTTGTGATGTAATCTTTTTCCATTACAAACGTTGAGTAGTAGTGCACATGTGTATTTATGTAACTATCTATGAATTATACATGCTCAGATACTGCAAAGTAGCTTGATTATTTCTTTCTGCACACACAACAGTGAAAACACACATACAAACACTCAAATAAAACCAGCCATTAATAAGCCTGAAGTTTCTCATAGCAACAAAATACAAGAACAACAACAAAAAAACTGGCAATAGGGGGGATAATAAGTTCCTCCCACTCCAACATCAGCCCTGGTGGTGATGCTATTTTCACATCCTTTGCAGAGATTTACCTGTTTTGGCTGAAACCGACCAGTACTCTGCCTGCATCTCCTTGGCAAAGCGGATGGCATCGAGCTCTGTCCTGTCACACACAGCACCTGACTGGGCAAACATGGGACAGCTGAACAAAGTGTGCCTGGGCTGGTGACAGCACACAGGCACTGCCACAGCACCCACACTGGGATGCTTCCAGTTCTCAGTGGCCTTTCTGACCTTCCTAGACTTGGGCAATCAGACATGGCTGCAAGAACATTCAGCTATTTAGTACTGGCTTTACATGGAAGCGTCCACTCAGCTCCCACAGCACTGAAACAGGAGTTAACAAGTGACCCCTGTATCTAACACATTCTCTGGTAAAGGACTATCAACTCAGCAGCCAGTTAATGGTCTTTAAATCCTTGTCACCCCATCATTCTCAGCAGGGACCAACCAACTAGTAACAGAATAAACAAGTTTGTTTTCAAAGCCTTAAACATCTTTTTTCTACAGAAAGACAAACGCGGGACTGAGAATTGTATAGAGAGACTGCATTCACCCTGTTCTTTTGAAAATTATGTGATATTCAATTAAGTAAGATACTTTCCCTGTTGCTGAGTAATGTACACACCATTCCTTAAAAACCAATTTCCCTCTAATTTTTCCAATACCTCTCTGAACTCTAACACTCAGTTGTGAGTATCTAGCTTAGAATTCCATATTTCTAGGATTCATATCCAGCATGTCAGGCTTGCTAGCACAACAAAAATACATATAATGCTCTAAATTCCATACTGCAGTTACTTTAAATGAGGATAAAGAAGAAAACCTATGAACAGTTACAAAACAACAACAAAACCTTCAAGATCACTATATATGTTTTTATATATATGCTTGAAAAATGTCATGCAAGAAATATTTCACTAACTACCCATTTTTTTCAGAGTCTATTCTTTAATTGATTTCAAGTGGACTGTTCAATTTACCTTTAAGTTTTTCACTCAAGGTCTTTATCTCAATGACATTGTGCACAACTTGCAAGGGAAATCGCTTGAGGAACTAGGGAAAATCTGATTTCCTTATCTGCACTCCATTTACTCACCACCAAATCTTTTTTTGTTCCAACCAGAAAGATGAAGCTGGAATCTGGCTCATTCTCCCTCAATGCATCTTCTAACCACTGTCTGAAATACCAAAAAAAAAAAAAATCAGTCAGAACAAGGAGTACAGGAGAATATGACAGATAATAGGGTCACAAGAAAAGTGAGTGGAAGAACTTGTGAGAGTATCAAAAGTCTTTTTTTCTAGACAGAGAGAGCAGTAGCTATTCCAGCTTCTTTGAATACATGTCTCCCACTAATGAAAAATCATACCCATGGCACAGTACAAATTCAACAATCACTTTAGCACCCAGAGAGGATATTTCTCAGTGTAAGGGAGAGGGCAAAGTTTGGTGTGAGATAAGGAATAAGAAAGCAAGAAGCAACTGTAAAGGTATGAACCACATAGCAGGTTAGGTACAAATGGGAATAAAGAGTGAAATAATCTATTCAGCATTATAAAACAGCTCCCTATGAAGGCTGTATGATTCTTGTCTCACAAGCTTTTATATTCTTGTTACTCTGGCAATCAAGTTTCTCTTGAGTCATCCAACACAAGTCAGGGAGGGAAGGGAGTGTGTGCGTGTGTGGGAAATCAGGTTCACAGGCTTCAATTACTTTCAGCCAAGCAGAGACACTAATATATATATTATTTTACAAAGTCCTATGTAAATGAGCTAAGCACCATAGTACACATTCAAATAAGACAGAGTACAGGTTGTAAAGAAGTCTGTACCTGCATTACAGTCACAACAGCATGTTAGAAAAACATATACCCTGAGCTGTGACAGCAGTGTGGGTACCAGATCCATGCAGGGTTTTGCAGCCTGCACTAAAAGCAGAATGAGTTCACTCATCACAATCAGTGTGTTGTTGTAGCCAAATCATTATACAGATCTGAACTAGTAAGTTTAGCTGTATTTACACATACTTGGAGTTTTAATTTTCTCTCCTCTTTCTGACAGCCTATCTCCCATCAGAAACTAGAGAAAAAAATTTGGGATAACAGTGCACCTAAAAAATGAAAGGCCCTTGAGACATGCATGAGATGCATCTCAATTTTATCATTTACATTAGATTCCAGCCTGTTATTCTATTTATACCAAATGAAGTAAAAAAAAAAAAGCTTTTGGAGTGCACTTCATCTTTTGCTGCATGTCTAGCTTTGGAAGGATCAAGCTTTTACTGAAGTGCCTCCCTCTCTGCACTGACTTTAAAGGAAGTCAAGTGTAAGCAGTTCAAATTTATGCTCTGCATTTTCTTCAGAAAAATCCCTCCCTATGTAATCCAAACTAGTAACTGTCATTTTTAATTTCTTAGCTCAACAGAAAATACACTCATGATCCAGCAAGCTCTTAACACCTACATATGGAAGGCAATTAAACCTGCTGTAAAAACCTTTAAAAGATAAGCCAAAATGCAGAAACTTACTTGGTGTGATCCAAAGTTTGGATATCAGCCAGATCAAACACTGTTATTATAGCTGCAATAAAAGACAAGACCAGAAAAAAAGGTAATTAAATTAGAAAGTGTATCAGAAGTCTCTCCAACCTGTCTTGTTAAACAGAGAGAATGTTTATACATAAGGTGTAAGAACAGATTTAACACATAGGAAGTGCAAGACTATCCATTTGCTCATTCCTTTTCTTTTTCTAGCACCCAATAAGATCTAAGTCCTAAGTCTTAAATGTTTTATCTATAATGCTATCAACCCTTTCATTTTGGAACCACAAATTACCACATGATTGTCTCTTACCAAAGGGAAAGCCAGAAATATCCACTTCCAGCTCCAGCATTCATCTCACCCAACCTCAAATTCTTTCCCCCTAGTCACAAGTGCCACTTTCTATCACTGCACCATCAGAACACTCAGAGCCTGCAGATGTGACAACACATCAAGTCATTGACTTCTTCATGCCTTCTTCCCTGCCACAATGGACAATCCATTCCACCACAGTGTGTCTGTAGGTACCCTCCTGAGGAGCATATATGGATATAGGCTGCTGTACAAAACACAGCCTCCCAACAAAAGCAGGATCAAATTAATATTGCTCTCACCCTCTGCTCCTCGGTAGTAAGCAGATGCAATGCACTTGAACTTCTCCTGACCTGCTGTGTCCCATCTGTGCAACAGGGGGAAAAAAAGAAATTTCAGGTTAATGAAAGCCAGGGTAACCTGAGTAAACATGTTAATGAAGCAGCAGACTGGTACAAGGCAGAGAAGAATGTGATACCAGGGAGGTGTCACCATCTGGAACATGTTATTCATTAACTACTGAGAGAAATACACTAAAGCTCTATGAGTCAATGAAGACATGCAAACACCATTTTTACCTTTTCTTAAAAAATACTGATCATTTTGGAGACAATTCAAATATTTGTATTCTGCATGGTAATGCCCTATCCTTAAAACATGTTTTTCTTTCACCTATGTAATTTGCATGTATTTCTAGGGCAATCTAGTTTTGTAAATTTTCTGTGCTAATACTAGCTCAGCCATGTATTAGCCCATGTTAGAATCTTGCAACTGCTAGATAAGATATCTGTCTCTACACTATAAATTAGAGACCTGCAGCTCAGCCTAGCAGGTACTAATGACACCATTAAATAAAATCAAGAATGTCCTTCTCATTAATGAACATGATATGCAGTGCCTTCAGCTACTGCCAGCACTACAGAGTTTGGGGTTTTTTGTAGCCTTGTACTGCCACTCACAGATACTTGCAAATGTATCTTGTGTGGAAATCTCTCAGCAAGAGGGGGCACTAGTGCTTATCATATGGAAATGTTCTACCCAGCTCCTGAAGTTTGCAGATAAGGCAACCTGACCTTATTGCTTCAGTTTGCAAAATGCTGATGCATGAGTCTGGATTTTCAGAGGGACTCAAGTTCCAAAAGGAAAGCACCTGGCAAAGCTTCCCAAACACAATTACAGTGAAATCAGCGGGAAATGGATTTTTCAGTAAATACCACAAGTCATCTATTTACATCAGTGATCTCACCAGAAAAAAAAGCGTTCCTAAGTTAAAAAGGTTTTCAAAATTCATGCACTAAAATATCTCATGCAAAGCATCTTATTTCTGCTCTAGGTCACACTACAGGTGATTCCATAATGCCCTCTACAGAACAATGTTGCTGGCCACCAGAAACACAAAGGGACACCACTCCACAGACCCAAAGCAGGCGGAAGAAGGGCAGGATTTCCACAAGTCTGACAAGCAAAGTTGAAAATCAAAGATATTAGGTTCACATTCTAATAAAACCACTCCAGCCTTTCTGTGATTTAGGGATAATTAACTAATTGCTAATTAAGAGATGGTGAAATCATTAGACAGCTTATCCTTAATTTCAATGACTGCAGGAATAAAACCCCCAGTAAAGCCAAGTTCAGTGCTCACTGTGCCTAGTAAACTCAGATCACAGACTGAGGTTACACCAGCACTGGTGGCTGTGACAAAAGCTTCCACTTCTCTTTTATGAATGTTGAGTAAAAGTGACAGAACTCCACTGAAATAGTACAAGACATTCAAGATGAATTTTCATTTACAAGCTTGTAGTATTTTTTTTAGGCATGAGAAATACAAGAGCAAAATTTCTACTAAACCTGCAAATCCATAGACAGAATATTTTCTTCAGATCACATTACTCTTTGTGCAATTGTATCATATTTTAAAAATCTTTATTCCACTACAGCCTGCAGCAATTCAAGCTCTGCTGAGACTGTACTCTGTGCAATGCTTAACCATGCTCTTTCAACTCACATCTGGAGGTTATATGGCACTCCAATTATCTCAAAACGTTCGATCTCAAAATCTACTCCAATGGTTGCCTTGTAGTCTCGGTCAAAATGATCTTTACAAAATCTGCAATGGGAAAAAAGAGGATGAAAAGCTCATAAGACAATTACAAATAATTGCAAAACTAACACTGACTAGGGTAAATTATGAAAAGAAAAAACTAACTGTGGATTTGCTATATAATGTAGAAACAGACATAAAAACATAAAGGCACTAACAAAAAGAAGATACTGTTTAACAAACTAGAAAGCACATCTATCTAGTAAGCTCTCAGGATAATGTGAGACTCAGAATAAAACATCTTTGGGCTCTCAAGGGAGGTACAGTATCTTCCAGTTTTAGTTACAAGGGAATATATTTTGAGTCATAACTAATGACCCAAATGAAACCTAGACTCAGACACTGAAATTGTTTTCTAGTTGTTCAGCCTTTAGACTGGATTCCTAAAGAAAACACTGTATCATATTTGACTAGATAAAAATGTCCAAGAATGTAACATATACTGATTGAAGTGCTAGAGCACAACTTTTTGTGTTGATGTATCAAGACTGTCTCATACTCTTGACTTCATTTAATAACAAAACCACAAAGTACTGGTTCAGGTTCAAACCAGAACCACGAAGCACTGCTCTAAAGCCAGCAATGGAAACGTTATAACATTTATCTGAGAAACAGGAGAATCAAACCATCAGCTGAGATATACCGTACCTGTTGATAAGACTGGTTTTCCCAACATGCAGGTCTCCTACCACAACCACTTTGGATATTTTCAGCCTGTTATAAATATTTGAAAATATTACATAGTGTTAGTAGTAATTTCACAGTCTCCTTTTACAAATTCTGATTTAGATCTTTAAATTTCAAGTGAGGAGCACAGGTACCTGTGACTTCAGTTTATCTACGTGCCACTGTGCTGCATGGTGAGTTTTTAACTGTGAGAAAGAAAGCACCAAGAAACCAAAACCTTCTGCAGCAGAAATAGTCCATTTCTTACTCTGTTAATTTTTTTTCTTCATTTCAATTCAGTGGAACAAATTTCATTAAATTAAAATTGCTTTGACTACAAGTATATGCATTTGGCATAATTTTACATAAGTTTACACATAGTGTGTCTGCATCCTTTGCATTCCAATTTATCCCAAGTTCCTGTTTGTACTATTAAAGTCAATGAAAGTCCTAAGTGCAGAAATAAGAAATTGCTGATAATAAAATAACCCACTGCAGAATGTGCCTCTGGGAAAAACAGCCCACAGGGTTAGAGCCAATACATTTTCTGACTATCTGGAATAATATTAATCTGAACCTGGCTTCATGCAAATAATCCTCTTTGCTCTGGGTCCTCCCCCAGGACACAGCAGATGGGCTTTAGGTGACTCAGTCTGCATTCTTAAAATTGAAACTGGATCTCTTTTAGGACATCCAGGTGGATAAGTGAATTTAAATTCATTTGCTGACCTAAACTTGGATTGACATCTCTTGTGCAAATGGTACAAAAATGGCTTAAGATGTTTAATGCTCTTTTCTATCAAGGAATGGCCTTTTAACGAAGGAGTTAATCTTCTATTGAATACTATTTCTGGTTACATCAACTTCCATGTGATGCTACTTCCAAGTTAATCTATTCTAAATGGCTGAAAAATTGATTGGTAAACTGCATGACTAATATCTCTAAAAAAGAAAAAAAGAAGTTTTTTTCTGTGCCAGTCAACATTAACTGGGTGACCCCAGACCCCTGTGCTCCTGATTGCTGTTACTGAGAAAATACTGAATAAAAATCAACAACCTTAAGGGAAAAGCCAAGGAGTAAGTGTTGGTTTAGAGGTGTGTGTTCCATTAATTTGTACTGGGGGAAAAAACTCCCTAGATCAGACCATTTAACACAGTGATGAACTGTCAGGAGAGTATTAAATAAAGCCATTAGCTGCTGAATTTATCAGACTCGCTTTCCAAAGGACAAAGAAATATTTTATTAGTTGGGGTAATGGAAAAGGAAAAGGTGATGGTTATTCCTGACAAGCTTTACAAGTACTGAACAAAACACTCTGGCTGCCCTTCCTATGCCCATTCCACCAAAAAATGACCAAATAATCATCATATCTAGAAAACAGTGACAGAGAAGTAGTTTAATTCTATTCACATATAGCTTTTTAGTTATACTCTGTTACCAGAATAAATTACATAGAGAGTTGGTTTACTATAGAAATAAAAAACCCCTAATATTAAAAATCCCAAATGAATACAACTTGGAAATGGAGGGAAAAAATACCTCAATTCAATAATGCATATCTTACTTGGAAAATTGTCCAGACACTTGTAACAAATTTACATGAAACTAAGATAGTCAAAGTGTTTCTAAAAAAGGAATAAAGTCACTGATGTCTCTCAGGGTGACATATTTTCAGTTAATTTTTTTTTTTTTAGCAAGACTCCCTAGTGAAATGAATATAAAGTTGCATTTAAAGATGGATATCATGACAAGTCTCATGTCAGCAACTCCAGAGCTGGAGGAATAGTGAGCTAATTGTCAGTATTCATAGGAGCTCCACTTTATGGAGGATCCTTCACACTGAAACCAGAAGCATTTATCACTAAAATGTACAGCTATTTATTTTAACTGAATAGTGTTGATTTCAACACAGTTTAGCTGTCTTGCCTTACTTCAGAGATTAAATCAGTAATAGTAACAGATCTGGTGGAGGGATAACGCAGGAAAAAAACCAACTTCAAGATTATTAGTAGAGTATAAATCAGCTTATTCTGATTTTTAAATGCTATATAGTTACCAGAAATTTGCTCCAGTTTTAAGGAACCTATTAAGAGAATTTCTCAGCATGTATACTTCAAAAAGGCTAAAACCAGATCCCCAGATTTTTCAAGAAACTTAGAACTGCTGCCTTTGTACCCCTGCAAAGCCTTTATTAACTGCTCCTTTGGAACACCTACAGAGAACACAGCAAGGCTGGATCTGTTAGATCTTTTGAACTAAGTGTTTATTTAAAGGGTGTCAAAAACCTTTTCATTTCTAAACTATTTTTTCAATGCTACCTATCCCAGCAGAAGAAGAGGCACTTGATTCATGTACTGTGGAACAGGTCAGCGAACTGCCCTGTGCAGGGGCTTAGCTGCCTTGAGACATACTGGAGTAAGGAAAGCCAATGAAGAAAGGAGGCTCTAAAGAGTTTCAAATACTTTCTCCCTTGAATACCTGGGTTTTTACAAACTTACCCAGCTGTTGCAGTGCTCTGCTGACAAGCAGTCCTGACCTGGGCATGGAAGTGCTCTTTGAGCTGCAGACAGGCCTCAGGTGTGTACCACTGAAAAGAGAGAACAGCTGCTGGGACAAACTGGGCAATGGCTACTGGGCAAGGAATCAAACTGGCAAGGAAAAAACAGATAAAATGATTGCTCACAGGGTTTGTCAAGAACAGGGTTATCCTGGCATAAGAAAAGGGTAGGTTGGGTTAGAAGGCAGTAAGGTTTCCCCAGAGCTATTTGTTAAAGCTCCTTGGGACAGCACCATCCTCTGAGCACCTTCTGAGTGTCAGTGTCCAGCCTTGCCTCAGCACTCATGGCCAAATCCATTTGCTCATCATTCTGTGCCCCAGGAAGTGCCTTCAATTGTCCCAACAATCTAAGACACACAAGACAAACATGGATGGGAGCACACCACCAGCAAGTCATTATTACTGTGAAGTTTTTCAATCTTATATAAGTGTGTAGCACTGTTTTTATTACTAGCCCTTTAACTGGGAATTAGCTAAAAATGAGGAAAATATATTTTACCTTGCATTTGCTTAAAATACCTGTGGTACTTTTCATAAAATTAAAAGCCAAATATGTGGCTGAGATCAAGAATGGAAAAAAAAGCGAAGCCCTTAAAAGGATCTTCTGAACAACTGAAAAAAACAAGTGGTCCTTGCCCTTCCCTGTCCTTAACTGTGCTATTATACTTCAAATACAAAAGTCTTTGGGGACATCAAAGGTATTTTGTCTGTGTTTCAACAATGCCTGCCTACTACATTTGATCTACTGTATGACTAAGGTTCTTGTACCAACAGAAAATGAAAATTGCCTCAAATTCTTTAACCAAAGACTTCTAATTAGATTTTTTGGCAAATTTAATGTCAGCTCTGGTTCCTCTTTGCCCTCAGTGTTGGAGCTCTTATGCATGTAATTATTACTGTTTTGCTGAAAAAACAAATATTGTAAGATGACTCTTGTGTCACAAGAGTCACTTTTTGCAAAGGTTAGAAAGAAGAATGAGGATTGTTATTAAAGAGTTCAGCATTGAATGGGACTATGAGGTCACATTAAACTTTGAAAGAATCTAAAATAATTTGCAATTTTAACAGAAGACAACAAGTGTACACTAAATTAAATTAAAATACCATATTAGCACAATGGAGAGATAGATCAGTTTGGCAGGGGCTACATACTGTGACCAAAGGGATAAAAAATCCTTACCTTGGGAAACTGGGAGATTATTCTTTCTCTGCTCACTGGGGGAACCCAAAGCATTAGGTTGGACTTCATTCTCCAAGTTCAGTTAAATTCTACAAGTCTGAAAATACATAAAGAGAAAAACAGTATTCAGGAATTACCTCAATACAGAGACATTCAGGAACTATCTCAATACAGAGACATTCAGGAACTATCTCCATAAGGACTAACCAAGTTTTGCAGACTTGTCATCTTTTTTTTCATTTTTTCTTTTCAGTTCAACTGGTGGTTCTTCAACTCAGTTTGCAAGGAGAGAAAGTTGTTCCTCATGCAAACAGGATCACCTCAGTGTGCACAGCTGTAGCAGCAAACAGTGGCCTTCTGAAACTACAAGGCACCAACTCTAATTCCCTGGGAGGGCAGAGAATTGCTCACTTAATTCAATCCAAGTGCTCACAGTTTAGCCCTCAAAGGACTCTGCAGTGTTTAATTTTAAAATCTTGCTCATCACTGGTTCAAATGCCTCTGCACTAAGTACATGAATTAATGTTAGGGATCCCAGATTTCATGTGGTCAGAAGAAGGGAGGAAAGATGTAGCTGCCACATTTCTTGGCACAACATCAAACTTTCATCCAAGATCAGCTCAGAAAGAATGAAATCTGTCTGACATGAAAAAAGAAGAACGTTCACATGAAAATCACAAACGCATTCAGATGTCTCACCTGAGCTACATCAATTTGGTTATGTAAGGAAACCTCGTGGGCTGCTGGGGGAGGGGACCCTTATTAGGGTACTGATTTCTTACTGGCATTCAAAAGAACAGTTCTAAAGGGAGCATTTTCATCATGTAGCAAAGTGTAAGGAAGGACTCACCGAGCAGCAGCTGATGCAGAGGATTCCAGCCACACAGGCAGCCCAGCCCCTGCTACGTGGCCATAGCAACAGGTTTGAAACAATTCCCTTCCTCCCCTTCCTCCACAGCCGGGAAGGCGGAGATGCAGTAATTGAACTACACAGAGCAGTAGTTTTAAAACAACAAACTCGTTTTAGTGGTCATACAGATTCCTTTGATCAGAAACTGCTCCTCAATAAACCCAGATATCCCTAATTCTGAATCAGGCAACAATTCCATTTTGCTCAAAGATCGTTGTATACATGGATACAAAGAGCAGGATTAGCCTATTAACAAGGAACCAATGGAGTGGGGAACTGTCACAGTGCTAATATTAAGCACAGCAGCAATTATAAAGAAACTCCCAAGGGATTTCTCCAGCATTTCAACTTGATTTCATCTCAGCTTTAAAGTCAGAATGCGCATGCCACCAATGAGACATTCTGAATTATATAAATGTCTTTCTGCTCATTAATAATCTTGCTTTCTAATGTACAAAACACCAAAGACAAGGAATAAGAAATTACACAGCCATTTTGCATTACCTAAGTTTTGTCAATTAACTCATTAATTTAAACAGTATTTAGTAAGCCAGAGTGCAACTTAGGATGCTAAGAGATTTTGCTACGTATTTTATTAGGATTTAAACTTTCAACTTTGAGGAGAAAACAAAGCTCTCCCATTCTAACAGTCATATTTTGATAAAGGAAGAGGTTTTGAACAAGGAGACGAGCCTCTCCCACTTCTGCAGCAGACTAAAAAGGTTAAATTGCATATCAAAGCAGACCAGTAATTTTAAACAGTGAGCAAATACAGAATAAAAACCCTAGAGTTGTGTCTTACAAGCACACATAAAAAATAATGCTTAAGAAAAATCACTAGCCCACTATCCAGAATTAATGTTTTAGCCTCCTGTTGTCATCTTACTGCAGAAGTTCCACACTGTTGTCTCCTATCACAAAAGTGTCACACCTTCTTGGTGTTTCTCATGGTCAGTTCCTCAGAGCACTGACTCTTTCTCCTTCACAAAGCACCAACTGACTTTATTCCCCTCTCACCCAGCCACCCCACTCTGTTATAGCACTCTTCTGCTCATTGCTTACAGCTGTGGCCTGGTAAAGTCAGGCCTGTTCCCAATCTTTGATAATTGGCACAGCTGCAGCTCCTTAGGGGTAAGATTACTTTCTACACTATCTTTATTTTCTTATATTCTATCCCCCTACATTCTCCTCCATGAGAAATTGCTTTTAAATCACTTCAGGCACAAATATGACCTCAACTGTATCAAAACAGCCACTTCCCCACAAAGAACCCAGATTTGCAGCTGATGGGTTGTTCACCAAAGGTGACATCACAGAATTTATCTATTGCCATATGGAGAGTTCTACTTATGCTACTTGTGACCATATAAACCTTGAGAAGTCTAGACCCTTGTTATGGTGTGCTCCTGCCCTTCTGGCCAGCTTGGATGATTTTATGGCAATATCAATGTCTTAATTAATGTCAGAACTATTAGTGTGGTTCTGAAAACAAGAACTCCATGAGTTGGTAAGAGTTTCAAACACTAACTTGCTTCCTGCATGTTCTAGTTGGAGTTCAACACCTCCTAAGCAAGGTAAACACTTGTCATGTGTACACAGATTGACTCAGTGCTCCTCTCCTAGAGCTCTTTCACAAACTAAGCTACAAAAACCACAGTTCAACCATCCCAGTGAATGAAGTACAGGAGGGACCAAGACAACCACACAGATATATTTCAAAATTGAGAGGCTATTTTCACTTATACTTGATGTATTTAATCTAAATCTGACACACACATAAGCATATCCCAACTTACCATATCAACAAATAAGAGACACCATTACAGGAAAATAATTTAAGAAATAAAGAGCTGCTAAACATACTGAGGATGATGCATATTTTCTCTTCTTAAAGAGCTGAAAGGGGATTCAGTCAGCAGGGAGGGCTGGGAACACAGTGTCTCCATGGCATCACAACCCTCCTTATCTCAACATTGCAAGAACAGTAGTGCCAGCAGCTTCTGTGGAGAGACAAAGGATATGAGGAAGGCATACATAAAATAAGTGAACATCATAACCACTAACAAAATCAGTATTCCAAGCTGCAGTGAAGGACAAGACAGAATAATTCACACCAAAAGCAGAGGTAACACCGAGGAACAAGTGTCTGATTTGGTCCTACTGTGTCTACACTGAGAAAAGTTCATGCTCTTCCTATGGAAATCAGGTGAACTTTTACAAGTACATAGTGGAAGTCTAATCTAATTCAGATAAATCACCTGTAAAATAAATAATCAGCTCTAAAAGGTTGCAGAAAAATGAATACTTTCCTTTTTAGACTAGCAATTTTTCTTTTATGGATTTGAAGATCAACAAACCAGAACCTATTCCTGTGATGCATTTTAATCCGGCTGATCAGAACTACTTTGGATTTGTAAAATCCTTTTTAAGAATTTTGATTATTGCAATTGTTACTCAGACATAATGAAAAACATCTCAATGACTTCACTATCTGCACTATCCTTTTATAGCACAAGCTGTTCAGAATTTTTTTCCTGATGCCAGATAACATCTGACAATCCAGAACACCCTTAAATTCTGCCACAACATTGCAATGATCCATTCTTCCCGTGTACCTTCTTCTGAACAGTTATGTGAAACTGAGTAATGATGGAAACCCTCACTACACATTCTAGCTGTTCATAGTGACATTTCAGAGAAGATTAGGAACGAAAATCTAGTCCAAAACTACTGCGCTCCCTTCAGCCCTTGTACCCCTGGGCACTCGCCTGCTGTATTTCTGCCCTTAACTCGACCACCATTTTGTTCGTTCGGAATTTTCCTCGATTTTGTTCAAGTAAAACTACTTTGAAAACAGGGGGCGAGAAGAGAAACTCCACACTTGAGCAGAGAACTGAGGCAGCACGGCTGCCACTCCGGAACCTCACGGCGACACCCCCATCCCCGTCCCGTCCCCTCACGGCTCCCCTCAGCGGCCGCGCCCCCGCTGCCACCTACGCCATTGACGTAACTCCCTCAGCGCGGGCACTGCCAAGCGCGGTGCTCACGCTGGTGACGCAGCCGGGCCCGGGGCTCAGCGGCGTTGGTCGCTATTCACGAAGAGGCGCGTACGGAAAGAGCGGGCGCTGTGGCAACCAGGGCACGCGCGCGCTGAGGGGCGGCCGGCGCTGAGGGGCGGGAGCGGGGGCTCGGTAATGGCACACGGCGCTTTCGATTATTTAGTTATTTCGTTTGCCTTGAAGGGAGAAGTAAAGCTGTTTAGAGGCTGTTTTAACTTTTGGGTTTGTTTTTGCTGTTAGCAGTTTTCTGTATTGGAGGTCGAAGTGTTCAATCTGCTGAGGCGCTTTCCGTACTGAGGGAAGGGCGGGGGTCGGGGGGGCAGCCCTCACGTATTCTATCAAACGTTACCGAATTCTGAGGGCAGGATTTAACCAGATCCCTTTAAAATGCCTTTTTTTTTTTTTTTTCCCCCCCTTAGGGAAAAAGGAGGTATTTTGTTTTGCTTTGCTTTAATTTTATTATTTTGAGCCCTCTCCGTTTTTGGGCATTGGGCTGCTTCACTTGAAGCCTTTAAAAAGCATTCCCTTCATCAATTTTAACATCCTTCCTTGAAATTTTAAGCGTTCTCTCTCTCTCTTTTCTTTACAGTGTTCAGTGAGAACTAAACCAGATTAAGACAATTCAGCAGATGAACACACATTAGTGCTGATGATGCACGATCCCAGCCTCTTTCACAGCTTCCTGACAGTGTATGTTTGCTCAAAGAGCTCCTTGGGGACACAGAGCACTGTTCAAAGTCAGTAGGTGTCTTTATGGTACATTATCTGCCCAGTCACCAAGTACAACCATTTTGGACTATTTCTAGGGATAGGGAGAATCTTTCTCAGGAAGATTTGGGATGGCACAGCCTCGTATCTCAGCGTACCTCCCCCCTGACATAGACCCCACCAAAGCTGCTCTGGCCTTTGGGAGGAGAGCCCTTCCTAAGCTGAATGAGGAGCTGCAGTCTCCCGAGCTGCTGACGCAGCAGCGGGCGCTGATGGCTCTCTGCGATCTGGTCCACGATCCAGAAAAAGTCTACCAGGCAATAGCATTAGGTAAGTGGTCTGTTCTCACTGGCTCTGACACAGTGGGGCAGGGTCAGGGGGGAGCCCCACTTCACTTTCTTCCATTACTTTTTCCTTACAATATCTTTGATGATGCAAAATGCCCAGGAAAAATTTCCTGTTTGTTTTACCTTAGAAAGGTAAGGAATATTATAATACCATTTACATGACAGTTATTATAAGAATTATCCTCACTTTAGGATTCATCACTGCCTCACTGTAAGTTTTATCAACCTCTAAATACAAAAGTAGTGCAGAATCATTCTTTCCACAGAATCATAGAATTGTTAAGGTTGGGAAAGACCTCTGAAATAATCCAGTTCAACTGTCAACTCTGCCCTGTCATGATCACCACTAAACCATGTCCCCAAACTTTATTCCAATTTTAGCTGATTCCTAACATAGGCTAATAAAAAACCCCCACCTAATTAGTTCAAAGTTAAAACCCCTTCGCCATCATCACCCACTTGCCTGGAACTTGATGACAAATTCAAAAAGAAAGGAATATAACCAAATTTCTCATACTCAGCAGGACTACAGCTGGCCACCACTTATTTTTAAAGCTTGGAAGAATCCTGAATTTTGGTTTTTGGGGGGGAAAAAACCCCAAACCACAAGTTTATTTTTGCAATTTTAGCAGTCTGTGTTAGATCTACATAGCTCATTATGTAACACCGAAAAAAATTCATTGTTTGCTACTGCTTTTTTCTCCATTTACTTCCATTTACATTTTTTTTTCTCTCATAAAAGAGACTAGTCATGTTCAAAATTTATTAGGTTGGTGTTTGACGAACAGTTGATTGCCAAAGCAATGTGAGATTTTTGTTAGTTTGGGGTTGTTAGGTTTTTTGGCTCTGGTGAGTGCCATATGTGCATACACAATCACTAATGGTTCACCACATTTATTT